GCTGTATCTTTGGTCTTAAAAGCCTCTGCTTTGAAATGAAAAGTGAGTTCAGTATACATCATTGTTTTCTAAATTTCTGTACTTATTTAAATATTATGAAAAGGAGAGATTTTCACCAAAACCCGTACTTCTCATCCACAGGGTGAGTGTCATGTGGAAGTCTAATCATAGGCATCATTGCTAAAGCCTTTGCCTCAGACAAGAAGGTTGAACCACTCTGGTTCTAGTTTGGATCATTTGACTATTCTTGCAAGTATACCATTAGCGAAAGTGATATATATATATATATATATATATATATAATTTCTTAGCTTATAATATTAATAAAGAGCATGTCTTCATCATATACTCTGTGTACATTTTGATGAGATGTAGAGGACTCAGGAGCTGCAGGGAATGACAAAATCTTAGACTGAATGAAACCTATATTCTCACTTGGAAGAAATTTGCCAGTCTACCAGAAATCCTGCAGAATGTTGTTAAATGAAGAAGAAATAAACTTCTGTTGAACATTTGGCTATTTATTTTTTATGGTAATTATCTGATTGATGCAGGCCACAAATGTCTTGGTTTTGTGTGGGATTAGTTCATTAGAGAAAAGAAACCACAAACCCTAATTTATGGATGATAGAACATGTTAAACATCTTGAGAAATCTTGACCTAAAGCTATGGAAAAAACGGAATTAGCGAACCCCTTTTATAGTATAAAACACCTGAAAGGGCCTGCTTTCTCCTTGTCTGAGTCAAGGTGTAACATTATGTTTCAGCTCTTTGGAAGGATCAAAGAATTTCTTCTTGGTAATTTCTGGCCTAATTCCAGAGAGTAAAGGAAGGTTTTGACTTCCGTTTGGTTGTACTTTGTAAAAGTGGACAGATACACTTGGTATGTGGTGCTGGGGAGGGGGAAGCTGGGGAGAGGTCAACTGGGAAACGGCAGAAAATGTCATTTATGTTTGTACTTACTCCATGAATCTAAAATGAACCATAGGATTCTCAACTATCAATAGACATATTATATTTGCTGTTGTTTTTAGCATTACAGAAACATAATGGACCAAATAATACACCCAATAAGTACATCTCTGGTCAAGGCAACTCTTATTAAGAACCAATCTTTTCTTTTAGATTGGTGCTAACTGTTCTTTCTAGTTGTTTATAGTTAGTACACTGTTTAAGGGTTCAATTAAAATGAATATTAATCTTCAAAGAAGAACGATATTGTGACAATGCTAAATGAAAGGCACCACTGTAAAATTTAATCATAACCATGAGATCACAACTAAAACTTAGATTTGGGAAAACTGATCAGTCTCTAGTAAAGCAGTTCTAGTTTCATGAAAAGATGAGGAAAATGGCAATTACATGCAGAATTGTTATAATTATGTCAATATATTAAATATACTAGCTAGTTTGGGCAAAATTTTAAATTTTATTTTCGTTTTCTCTTTCAAAGACTGAGGCTACCTGGAAGTCTCACCAGGGCCAGGACTAGGGTGAGCAAATGCGGAGCTAAGGGTGTGAAGAGTCTTTTCTCTTTACCCTGCATGTTCACATCCCTGAGCAGAGCTCCTGTTGAAACTGTGTGCCCGCAGCACTTCCTGCACCTCATCCCAGCCCCATCCCTGAGTCCCACAAATAAACAAGAGTGGAAAGTGTGCACCCTAGTTATACAGAGCCTGTAGACTGCTCACTTTCTGGGTTTGGGCATCTGATAGTAACTTCCTAATGCGAAATGCAGGTAAATCAGCTCCAGTGTCAAGGTGAGCTCTTGCTGAGCAAATGACACAGGGTGGAGTGGGGTGGGGGGTGGGGAGAAGCTCCTTTTTTGGTCTTTGCTTGAATAATAATAATAATAATAATAATATCTATAATTAGATTTCCTTAAAGACTTAGAGAACTAACATCTTTATAATTTTTCAGATTGAAAGGTAATCCTTTTGAATTTGATTAACTCTACAGCCTACATTTTTAGAAAGCAAGATTATGTAGCTTCTGAAGGAAATCAGGAGCAATGAAGAGAGCAATATTTGCATTCACAAGTGATTCTGTGTTGGCAGATTGTCATCTTTGTGGAAATATCACAATTTTTCAAAAGGACCACTTTGAAGATAAAGAATTATATTTAATCATTTTTGGTTGTTAATAAAACAGCCATTCTGAATGTTCACTCTGACAATCAAAGATCCCGTTGCCCTTTAGTGTGGTGCGGCCCATTCCACCACATCGTGTGCAACGGCACCCCGCTCCTCAGCTCTGGGGGGACAAGAGCCCCCCTTCATACCCCTGCCGCAGCGCTCCTGTCACCAGAGAACTTGGTTCTTTAGGAAACTTTCTAGCAGGACAGCTAAAGGAACAGCAGCTGATAGATACAGCAGAAAAAACTAGAAACTCACATAGATAGATCAGAACACTATTTTGTCTCTCCCTTCCTCCCTCCCTCTCTCTCTCTCTCTTTCCCTCTTTCTCTTTAATTTAGTCCTATTGTGATTTAAAATTCTAAGCCTCCATGACCCGTTCCTTATGAGAGGGAATTGGTTATGGATCAAAGAGAGAAAACAAACTCTCCAAAACGACAACACACTTATTTCCTTATTACAGAAGTTTCAAGAAACTAAGATTAGCAGACTGAGGCTTCATTTCTAGAAAGTTATAGATTTTCAAATTATGGGGAAAATGGTGGCAGTTTTCAGCTGTATGTACCAGACTTGGTAGTGTCGGGGTCAGGTTGGAGAAGTGATGTTAAGTATAAACACCATGTTGAATGCATGACATCTGGATATAATAAAATGCTCACCTGTGTTGGCTCTTATTGCTCCTAAAATTGAGGCTGTGGGGAGAATCTTCCCCCTTCCCTGAACGGAAAAGTCCATAACTTTTATTGCTACTCTGCTATCACATATTGAGCTGAAGGCTAGTTTAAGGGTTTGAAGTTATTCATTGTCAGTTTAAGATAATTAGGTCATCATTTTAAATTAAAAACAAAATAAACTCTAAAGTTAGGATTTCCGAGCTGGAGTGCTGCTCAGTGGGAGAGTCCTTGCCTAGTATGCATGTACATGAAACTGGGTTCAGTTTTCAGCAACCACACACAGGCTCAGGAGAGACTGGCTCCCTATTCAGCCAGGCCTCGCTGGGACCAGGCATTCTGCTTTGTCATTCCCTGGTGGAGTTTAGACAGCTACGTCCAGCTCCTTAAAAAAATGTAGAGGCTTTAAAATTGCCCATTGCTTTTGAAGAGCAGTAGATGTTTTCTTCAATTGTACACTATAAAAATCTGTATCTCACATAAAAAACAATTTCATAGACTGTTGGCCTAATACTCTTTCTTCCTAAGCCCTTCCAAACTTGGTCTTCCCTTCATCCTGTTCTCCTTGTTCCCAGCCCCAACTCATCAGGCACTCACACGCATATATAGTGCAGTCCCCTCAGAAAGGGGTCTTGACGAGCTTCAGAAACATAAACACCATCGTGCAGTCAGCAAAAGCTGCACACTCTATTCTGTCCTGATTCTGCTGTGAGTAAGAACTAGAGGATGTTTCATTATCTGGTGGTCTGAGATTCTGGTTTGTGCGAAGCTAGGACCTTTGGGAGGAACTCCGGGCTGTGGCACAGCAGGGTTCTAATCTGGGAAGACTGCAGGACACTGAAGAACCATCCTCCTCTGTGCTTCTTTCCTGTTGCACCTTCTTTGGTTTGAGGGAAGCTTTGATTCAGAGAGCAGGCTGGGGCAGGAGAGTCTGGGTGCTGGCCGTTTCAGGAATGCTCTGGGTGGACCTCAGCGGGCTTGGGAGTGCTGACTAAATGGTCCCCCTCAGTACATCAGAGTGGGAAATTGCTGAGTCCTGTGCAAGCCCAGGAAGAGAAGGGAGGCTCAGCACAGGATACAATTTAAAACAAATTTAAAGCTTATCACCTAAGTATTTAGATCAGATGTATTATGTGCTTCAAGATATGAGGAGGGCAAAAAATCTTGTTTAAGCAAAACATTTACCTTTAAAGAAAAGGATACTAACTCAAATGGAATAATTCCCTATCTTTTTTTATGCCTTACTGTACAGAACTCAATTCAACAACTTTTACTAAATAACATCTTGGCGCTTGCAATGGAGACAAGCCAGGAATTTATAGTCAGGAGGATACTAATTGGAATTTTCTAGTTAATCATTTATTGGTTTAAATAAAAATTGGTTTTTAGAACAGCAATAAAGCTCCTAGTTTTCTATTATGTGATGATCATAACAAAGGAAGACACTTTTCAAGTTGTTAATAACCGGGAGATGTTAACAGCACAATGATACCTAAAACCAAAGCCATACAATCTATTCTTTTATTCATGAAAGGAGCCTGAAAATTTACCTGAGAATGTGCATGTCCCCTCTTGCCAGGCCCTTCTTTCTATCATAATCTTCTAATTCTAACTGGGTGCATTCTGTCTCTGTGACTTAAACAAGAAGTTATTCCTTAAATCTCATCCTCGGGGCTTATTCTTTCATTTACTTTGTGAACCTAGCTTTGGGGCCTGTCGTATAACCCTGCTATCCATTCTGTAACCTAGCATATCGTTTCCTCTCAAGCTTATCAATCTTACCAGTTTGGTGTAGAGAAAATTCATCTTTTTATCCTGCATAAAATTTTTTTAAAGAATAAACTAGCACATTGTTCTCCAAGTAAGTGGGACTCTTTCCTCTAGTGTCCTGAGTGCCTGCTGACCTCCGTGCTTTTTCTCTTTTCCCTTCTCTCCATTTCCATTTCCTAAAACTCTCCTTATCTCATACATGTAACATGAATGATCTTGTTGCTTCACATAGCATTTCCCTGATTTCCCAACAAAAACAAATTGTTACGTTGTGCATATGTGTTGGGTTAGTTCTTGTTTCTGTTTCCTTTATCGGCTTTCTGTTTCACTTTTTGGACATGTAGTAATATGTTTCTACTGTACTTGACCCTGAGCTCAAGTGTGGTTGCAATGTATTTTTAACCAACAAAAAGTGAACAAAATGTTTGGTTTGGCAGCACATATGCTAAAATTGGAACAATGGAGAGAAGATTAGCATAGTGCATGCACAAGGGTGGCATGCAAATATAGAAGTGTTCCAAATTATTAATAAAAATACGCATGTACCAATATACCAAAGTGAACTTCATTATTCTGTATTACCAATATGCACTAACAAAATAAAGAAAAAATGAGCAGAAGTAACTTGGACCACCTCCATGTGGAAGATTCATTGGCCAGTTTATGCACTGCTGTGTTCTTTTTTTCTCTTCCAGGTGACCAGAGATTTTCCAGAAGTGCTGCTCCACTGGCTTGGATCACAGAGTAGCAATGATAATGAAGTGGAATTGAACTCCCAGTCATATGCAGTAGATCCATAATTTGAGTAAGAAATAAACCTTTATTATTTAAGCTCCTGAGATTGTAAAGTTGTTTGCTTTTGCAACAAAACCTAGTTTATTACTAGCAACAACTGTACATGATGCTGATATTTCTTTTTATTCAGTTCATTTCAAAAAGATGTGTTTTGAAGGCACATGTGGTGGCACATGCTTATATAATCTCAGAAGGCTGAGGCAGGATTACAAATTTGAGGTTAGCCAGGTTATGTAGCAAAATACTGTCTCAGAGAAAAGTCATTGATCTTCAGTCCAATCTAGTTTCCAGATGACTGTGAGCCCAGCTGATATCTGACTGCAGCCCCAAAAGGAATCTCAAGGGAGATCTTAAGTAGGAAATCAGAGTTCTTGATTACCTGTTTTCCTCAATTTCCTTGAGAATTCTTTTAACGTAGTCATTTACATACAAGTAATGTGCTAAATTAGAAGTAAGTCACATCTTTTTTTCCTTCCCTTTAAGGGCTGATGTTCCCGAGGTTTGGCTTTTGGCTATCATCTGTGTACATTTTCCTTGGAAAACGTATCATACTTCCCATTATTTTAACTACAAATTTTATATCTGGGACTCCAATATATGTATTTCTAGCCCTAAAAAGAATTGCTCAACTTAGCCTTTCCTATTTTGCTGATGTACAATATTATGAACAAAATAAAATGGTTCTTTTAATCCATTAAGCTTTGGAGTACATCGTAGTATAACGATGACCAGCGAGCAGCGAATTACCTTCACTCCTCTCCTCTTGCCCTCAGCCCCCGCAGGGCTGGCAGCCTCCCTAGTCCTTATCTCTTGTGGGCCCCGCCCTAATTTTGACCACTAGCTTTGGTCTAATGCTGCAGAGGCTCTTACTGGAAAAGTCTAGATTGTCTTTCAAATGTGAATGAGTCTAACTGTCTGTGTCTCCAAAGCATTCATGTCAGTGGTGTGTAATTTTGCTTTTATTTTTCAGAGTATTTGCATGAAAAGAAAAAAGATGTTGACATAGGAATGATTTTATAATTTTTTTTTGTCTGACTTTCCCTTCACTCTGATGGCAGAAATCCTGGAAAAGTTTCTATGAATCCATGTGCTCACTTCAGATTTAGGAACATGGCTGTGCGCCATTGCAGCCGATAGATGAGTTTGACTTGGCAAAGTAACAGTTCTGTTGAATAGTGGGAAATGATGTTGTCGGGGTAGGCTAAGGCCAGAATGTGAAGGCCCTGGAATGCCAGACTAAAATATTTTAACTTCATCCTGCAGCGGGGCGTGGGGGTTGGGGTGAAGACATTTTTTAAATGTAGGAAAGATAATTATAAAAAGCAGAGCTGGAGTCAGTATGCTGGGTGGGGTGTAGTCTAAGGTCCAGGAAATTATTACAGGAAAGTGAAGGTGGGTCCAGATATGCAGGACATCAGGAAAGGAGGCCAAGAGGACAGTGTCAGCAGCACTCCTGTTAGCAGACGGGGAGGTGTGGTGCAGACCTGCAGTAAGCCTCCTGAGAAGGCGTGAAACTAACCACCAGTTGGGTATTTTGGCTCGCTGAGAGTTCTAAGCAGAAACTTTAAAAACTCCCACAACACTCTTGGAGTCAAGCACTCCCAATATCAGCATTTTACAGAGCAAGCAATTTAGGTATAGGAGATAATGTCTAAATCACACAGCTGATAAGCAGTTGAGCCAAGATTTGAATCTGGATGATTCGCTTTCAAAATGTGTGCTCTTCACCATGATTATTTATCCTCTCTTTATTTCCAGAACTCCAAGTCCTTATTTTCTTTTAGTCTGATCACCCTTGTAGGGCTTAATGTCACATTATTTGATGCCAAACCTCAATTTTCAATTGCTAATTAAGTGCCTATCCTTCCCTGACTGAGGAAATAAATCAATTATATTCTGGGTCTATAGAACCATTTTCTGAGATAGGGTCTGCGTGGGTCAGCCAAAAACGTATTAAGTGGTATAACAATATTATTACTAACTTCTTCACCACTGTGATTCTGTATTGCTAGATATTTGCAGCAATAATTGGTGTATAAATCCATGTTCAAAGTTAGGAAACAGGAGATAGAGAGGAAGAGGAAGGGGGGAAGGAGACGAAGATGGAGACAGGGAGAGGGAGAGAGGGAGAGGGGGAACGAGTTCTAAAATGTGGCTTCCACAGGGACTTTATTTTTAATATATAGTAGAAATGACATTTCAAGGTGGCCTACCCTACTAGTAGAAGTACCATCCATGGAAAAGATGATCAAAAGCATAGCTGCAGACAAAGCAACTTGAAAACTGTACCGTTAAATATAATATGATGAAATCTATTTCTGTTGCTCCCTGAAGTTTGTGAGATGCCATCCAATAAATGAAAGCACTTTAGTGATTAAAATATATGTTTTGTTGGGAGTTGAAATAGGTAAGAAGTGGATTTTGAGAACAATTATGACAGTTTTACATATGCATGATGGCTTTGCTGTAAAGACTTTCACACAATTCAAGAACGACTTATCAAACACATTAATCCTCTCAACGTCCACAGAGGAGATGTGTGAGGTAAAGAGTGTTCATCAATAAGTTTTGTTCTCTTGCAAAACAACAGCAACAACAACAACAACAACAAAAAAAAAAAAAAAAAACAAAGAAAAAGAAATAAAAAGAAAACACAGCCTTGTGGACTGAAGTCTGTAACAGTCTTTATAAGTTCATTGACTGTGAATGAAGTCACAACATCCAGACTAGACTGAGCTCGCCAGGTTCCATGAGCACCTGCCTCCCTCTATTCCTCCTCCCTTCTGAAATGGTCTGAAATGACTCAAATTCTGAGCAGCCATTGGGGGAAAAAATCCAGTTTTACTTTTTCCCTTTTTTCTTCTTTTCTTCTGAATAAGAAAGCACAATTTGTGCACAGTAGTTCCCGATTTACATTCCTGCTCCATTGGTGGATTTCTCCCTCAGTGTTCAGCAACATCTCACTCCTAATGATTATTTATAGCCCCCCAGGGTTTCTGTGGCCCTAAGTAGCACCATTGAATTTATCAGAGTTCTTACCTATCCTGATTGCCTGGGTACACCTGCTGTGGGATTTATAGCCTTGAAAATAAGTACCAAACACCTAGTGGCTTCTAAACTTTTTTTTTTAAATCAGTCTCTCAAGCAGGTAGCTTTCCACCCTTTCCCTCCTTAGGAGGCCCACAGCGGCTGTTTCTACATGATGTTGAATCATACAGATGAAAAGTGAAAATTCTGTCAATCTCCTGTTCTCAGCTGTAGTTTAATGTAAAAGGCACTTGTGTGGTTGTTGTGATGAAAACAAGATTGGGAGGAAAAGAAGAAGCTGGAGTTCTGCTTCCTAGGCCCTGAATTACTGGGCTCCTTTATCCAATCACCATCACCTTGAGAACTCAAGGCCCAAATTCTGGGTACCAAGATCTTCTGTTCCCAAATCTGCTCTTCTTCTCCCTGATCTTACTATACACCCCTCTCTAGTCCTTTGCAAAGAGACTATGTTTATTTACATAAATACATTTCTTCACCATTCATAGAGAATAAGAATCATTTTAGCTAAAGACCATTTGCAAGCATGCATTCTGCTATATCAGTCAGTTAAAAGCAAGGAAAGCATGAAGAAAACAGATTTTTAATGAAAGATAACAGATAAATTATTCAATCAAATGTTGTTTGTTCCATCTATTACATGAAAGAGTGGGACTGAATGCAGAAAAACTCCAGGCTGAGCTCTCTGGGGATACTAATGTGACAGGTTAACCCCAATGAGATAAACTCTGCTCTTCCACACAGCCCTGAGATCAATAACTGGGCCCAGCTGGGTTGTGCCTAGAACAGTGGGAGAATTTACTTCCATGTATCATCCATGCTTGATGTGACCTCTTGTTTTCTGGATTGTGACTATTTGGCTTTTTCTATAATAATTACGTGTCGATGTCCGCTCCTGGCCGGCAGGAAGGACACACGACAAAGTCTGGCAGCGGACAACCTTTTTTTTAATTTTCCTTCTCCGTACAGCCTGCCCTGGGATCGCTCCCAGCCGAAGCCTCCTTTGGTCCGCTCTCCGCGGCTCCTTCTGGGCTTCTACTTCCGGGCTTCTTCTTTCCCCCCAGGGGTGGCACCAGTATATATACGGATACAGTGTCCAATCATGTTAAAGTGAGCAAGGCAAGCTGATTGGCTAACATCATCAGTTGCCAGGCAGACTATATTGTTGAGCGGGTTGCTTACGCGGTAAGCAGGAAACTAACGTGCTCGATGGGAGGGGTAATCTACCTCAGGCTTTACTCTTTACTACAGGCCTCACGTCCGCCAAGTGAGGCGACCGGGCTCGGGGCTGCGGCTCCCAACATCTCCCCCTTTTTTATTTTTTATGAATGTGCGCATCGTAGCCCTTTCTGGACTGGGTGTAGAGGCTTATGCCCTATGTGTAGGCCCACCGTAGGTCCTTGGCTTAGACCCTGGTCAGCCGTCCCATGGTCCGCCAAGGCCCTGAGGCCCTCGTCCTTTTTCTAGGGCCAGGCACAAACTGGACAGAACCTGGATGCACACAAGCTTGCACTCATTTCCTCTCCGTAAAGAAATCCCCTCGGAGAGAAATTTAGACCTGGGCAGCATCTAACAGTCTAGCGGCTTACGTGCAGGATGGGGTAGGGCCTGGCTTAGGTTGAGTCGCACCGGGGGAGTACGCTCTTACCCGTCATTGACTCTCCTACCCAGCTATGTCATAATTTTT